AAAACACTCATTCCACTCCAATTCAATTCTATCATTAATATTAGTTACAATCTTAACGTCTTTAACATTTATTTTCAATTGAACATCATACTTCCTTGGGAACACTTATAAACTCTCCATAATTAATTCTTTTTTCCCCATATTTCTCTTCACTTATATTTTTATAAATCATTAATAATAATTAAAATGTTCCCATCTTTCCTAATTTCATTCTCTCATTCTCTTTATTTCATTTAGTTATTAACAAACATTCCATTGCATTACAATAAGTATTTTATCCATCATTTTAATCATACATTGTTTCATATTTTCTAAAATTATTTCTATTTCTAATATAACAATACTATCTTATGTACCTTTGCAGAATCCCTTTTTCAATTACATTTTCACCCATTATCTCTAAATAGGTTTATACTTTCAATCCTTATACATTTTCCCTGCTTCTCTATATCTTGTTTCTGTCCTTTATGACTTCTTTTCCTTTCCTTCTTCCCCTTCTTCTCCCTCCCCTTTTTGCCCCCTTGTCTCTCTACTTCTAATTCTCTCTTCTGTAATCCTCTCTTCTGTTGCTTCTTAATATTGTAATTATTTTTCAAACTATTCTCTTTTTTTGGTTGTTTTTTCAAATCTTAAACTTTTCACTCTCTTTCCCCCCCTTTCCTTTTTCCCCCCACATAAAATTACTTGATCATTAAAGATGGCTTCTTTTTTGTCCCGCGCTTCTTGTTGATTATTATAGTTTCAGATCTCCATTTCTAAAAATTGAAATACGAAGCCAAAAGAACCTCTTCCTTCTTGTGCATCTTCTTTCTGTTTTTTAAGTTCCATTTTCAGTTCTTCCAAAAGTTACGCCATTTTAAACACTTTTAAACAACCACCCGATTGATTTTAGTCATTTAAGTCCAAAAGCCAAAAATCCAAAAATCATCAAGTAATCCAAATAATCCAAAGCTGTTTCTTCTTGCTTCTTTTTTCCACTTTCTCTTCCTGGGTTCTATTATTTTGTTACAAAGTTTCAGTTAGAATATATCTTTTAGGAATCTTGTTAAAGTTTCACTGTAAGTTCCTTTTAGTTCCACGCAGTCTCCTCCATTTTTCCAGATCCCACTCTTTTATTCTTTCCTTTTCTCTCCTTTCCTTCTTTTAAAGGTTTTTGAGTATCCAAAAGTCTTTATTATCCCTTTGACATTTTATTTTCAGCTTAAATGCCTATTGACATCAAAGTGGATTTTGGCAATTTCTTACTTAAATCTCTTAGCTGTCAGTATAAGGAAGGGAAGAAAAAAAAAGCCAAATCCTTTCCCTTCCCTCTCTCCTTCTCTGCTTCAAAATCTTCTTTGGGAACAATGTTATTTTTTATAGTTCAAATTCCAGGGTACCTTACGTTGTTGCTTTTTCAGTTCAACCCGGTCAACCAAAACTTTCTCTTCTTATCTTCCCCCTGCACATTCTTTTCCAGTCGAGTTCTTCTTTGAGGTGGCCATTTCTGACCACTGCTGCAACCGCCTTCGGGAAAGGGAGTAATGTCCAGCTGAGGAGGAGAGATGCGGCTTCCAAAGTGGTACCTATATATCTACTTGCATTTGCATGCTTTCGAACTGCTAGGTTGACAAGAGGCAAATTGTTAAATATTCAAAGGGAGCTTTATATTAATTCTATTTTGCCAATGAAACAATTGGATTTCATCTTATTGTACAAATACAAAATTAGCCTCCATGATTATTAATTACTGGTGGAGGATTTCAACAACATTAAAACTTTTAAATTACATTTGATATGCTGCTTGTACTATATACTTTATAATCTAATTACCACAAAGAGGATGAAGTGAAGTGGTACAAAAACTGACTTTGAAATTAATTTAGAAAAGAAGGAACTTTTCACTGCTGCAACTATAAAATAATATACAGCCAGTATTCTTGGTTGAAACCTCTTCCAATCTGCATAACCTAATACACCACCAGTCCATCATTATGTATTAATGCAATATAGAAACAACATATTTGCATGAAATTTACAAGTATTAAACCAATCTACTTACTTTTTTTCTATATTGAGAAAGTTGTGAGAGGGCAAAGACGGTTGCAACGGCCCCTCCTCCTACGAGGATAGTTCCTTTCACTGCCTTCTGAAAAGCCATGATTTAGTTCTAAAAGAAGAAAAAAAAATGGAAAAGTTTGCCAGATTAGAGAACGTTCCTCTAAACTTGAAATAAGAAACTTGAGGAAGTCTGTGTGATGCATATGAGAGCGAGTTTAAAAGGTTCATGAAGGGACAGCCACATTAGGTAAGGAACTTTGGATAGAATATTTAGCTTTGCTGACTAAAAAGAAATACGATTCCATCCCAGAGTCCTTTGAAGAACTGTTTGATTATGAGTAAAGACTAGCTCAAACACTGGCAATCACAGTATTATTGCAGTGCAAAAACACAAATAGTCGAAAGCCCGAGTCTCAAAAATAATAACTCCCATCACAGCCCGTTTACTTATGGTATTAGCATTGTTGTATTTTAGCCGTAAGGGTATCCACAGCAATTCAATATCATTAATTCAAAAAAAAAAAAAAAAACCTCAAATTGTACTGCTCTTATAAGAACGTGCCTGAAGATGCTGATGAGATATAAGGGCTTTGGCTCTGCTTGTTAGATCTGGGAATACCAAAAGAACATGTATGCCCCAATTCACAGAAAATAATCGGGAGTCTTTGTCTCAGCAAATGAGGTATATCCTATTACTGCACCCACGTATGTCACCCAGCAGCAAGCTTGTAGGTATTCTCTTCCTTCCTCAAAGAGTAGTTGTGGGAACGTCCTACATCTATCCATACAAAGTCAAAGATATAATTCCCTATGTATAATATTACCTAACCCTGAAGCCCGAGGTACACTGGGTACTGCAGGAAATGCCCTAATGCCAGGAAATGCCAGGGATGTCAAACTCAATTTCACTGAGGGCTGCATCAGGGGGCCAGGGTGGGTGTCGCCAGCTCATTGTCCGTTTTCGGCCACAACAGCCTCCTGCAGCTCTCTGCCCTCCCAAGCTCCATTTTCACTGGCAGAAGCACCTTGGGCCGGTTCTTCACTGTTTTCAGGGTGGCCCCATGGGCCAGATCTAAACACCCCACAGGCTGGATCCGGCCCACGGGCCTTGAGTTTGACACCCCTGCTCTCAAAAGACCTTATTTTCTCGTCCTAACCTTCTAAGCTTAGCACGGTAGCAGCAGTGATATTATGCAACTTTGTCCATTGCAGGTAGTTCTCGACTTATGACCACAATTGAGCCCCAAATTTATGTCGCTAAGTGAGATATTTGTTAAGTGAGTTTTGCCCCATTTTATGACCTTTCTTGCTACAATTCTTAAGTGATTCACTGCACTGTTAAGTTAGTAACATGGTTGTTAACTGAATCTGTCTTCCCCCTTGATTTTTGCTTGTCAAAAGGTTGCAAAAGGGGTCATATGACTCAGGATACCGCAACCATCATAAATGTGAGTCAGTGTCATGACTATGGGGATACTGCAATGGTCGTAAGTGTGAAAAATGGCCATTAAGTCACTTTTTTCAGTGATGCTGTAACTTTGAACAGTCATTAAATGAACTGTTGTAAGTCGACTTTTTAATTGGATTTTTCCAGGAATCTTCTGCATGGCATTCAGCTATAGCATCTTCTCAATGCATTGCACATTATATTTTACCTTACGGCCCCAGTCCTATTCATGCGCAAAAAAATCTATTTGGGAATTTTTGGAAGGCCATTTTGGTGGGAAAATAATAGGAAACAGCCTCTGAAACTGAAAAACTCTCCTGGAAGAAAACAATAGCAAACCACATCTGTATTATTGCCAGGAAAATGACATAGACATGCCCATGAGGTCACTTGGTATCAAGCTCCACTCAAGAGTGCCTTTTCTTTTTTTCTTCTATAAAAATCTGATGGCAGAAAAAAGAGCGCATAAACACCCTTTTACAAAAATAATTTGAACTGATTTTCTCAGTCCACCAGATATGTGCTAGTCATATATTGATTTCAAGAAGGCTGATGCAAATGCTATTTTCCAAGTAGGTAGAAAAGGCTATGTGTTGAGATACAAGAACAGGCCTGCCATTTAGAAAATATTGACTATGGAATGCATGCTTATCAAATCCAATCATCAGCAGCTACACCCTGGTAAGCCATTCTTTTTCAGCAGTTATTCTTCCTTTGAGGAAACTGTCGTGATTACACAACCTCTTCGGTAAGTTTTATGGAAAAGCATTAAAGGTCTTTATGAAGAACCACAGAAATTTTAAAATATCCTTCCTAAAATAAGATTACATAAAGTTATTGCAGTACAATCTTTTCAGGATCTTAGTATGAAGGAAGAGAGGAGACAATACTTCTAAAATGATGCCTACCACCTGGTTTTTATAAATTCTTATGCTAAAACAGCAAATGGGTAGAAACTAATCAAGGAGAGAAGCAACTCAGAACTAAGGAGAAATTTCCTGACAGTTAGAACAATTAATCAGTAGAACAACTTGACTCCAGAAGTTATGAATGCCCCAACACTGAAAGTTTTTAATAAGAGATTGAACAACCATTTGTCTGAAGTGGTGTAAGGGTATCCTGCCTAAGCAGGGGAGTGGACTAGAAGACCTCCAAGGTCCCTTCCAACTCTGTTATTCTATACTAAACATTTTTAAAATCCCAGCCATTCCAAAAATGGCTGTTTGCATCAGTTTAAAACATCAAAAATATTTTGAAGTATTGCAATTTGATCAATCTAATAGGCCTATGCCTGGAAGCACATACTAATTTCCCAGAGAGTAATCTCCACTGAAAACAGAATTTAAGCGAAGACAACAGAAAAGACATGATCAACTCCTGATGACTTCATGAATATAGACTTAGTTTGCCATGATCTTCTCCTTATGATTTTTCCATTTCTCAATCTGATCTACAATTCAGACCACAACAGATCAGATGGAACAGAATGATCTGCTCTACTAAGAGGGGATTAAATGCAGGTGCCCAGCTATACTAGTTTGAAACTGATAAAGACACTGTATAGACACATAACAGATAACAGAATGGTAGAGCTGGAAGGATCATCTAGTTCAGCAATGTACAGGAAAACTATTCATTTACTGGTTTATTTTTAAGACTGTGTATAAACAGAATTTAAAACATGTCGTAATAACAAGCAAGAGACCCCAAAATATTTTTTTTAAAAAAACTTATGTGGTGAATTCAGAAATGAAGTTTCCTTAGTCTTCTTTTAAAGAAGTCCTCAAGAAATGGAGAACTGAATCCACAATCTTCACAGGCAGATCTTTATTTTATTAAACCTGAAGCCACCCAATTCATTAACATCCCTGGGCAGCCTACAACTTTTAAACACACACTCACTCACACACAGACACACACTTATGTGTCATCAAGCTCCTACTGACCACATAGTTTCATCAATTAATCACAGACACAATCCATCAATAAACCATAAACCAACTCCAAGGAAGGGCTTTCTACAATCAAGTCTGTCAATACGGCTGAAAAAACAGCCATAAAAATTTCTTATACAAGCTACATGGATCTCGGGGAAGGGGGTGTGTGTGGAACAGAGGGACAGGACACATCATTCCAGAGGGCAAGGGCAGCAACAGGATAGGTTGGTCCACTATCATACAGATTTTCCAGTAGGGTTTTTTGCTATATTTAAATGAACTTCTAGGTCGTTGCAATTTATGCCCATTATTTTTGATTCTTGTTTCTTCTTTTCTCCATACTGAATATCCCAAGTTCTTTCAGCTGTCTATTAGGGCATTTTGTCAAAGAAGATGAGATTTGTCTGGGATTACCTGTTTTTGACAAAGCTGTGGTGACTCTTGGCAATCACAGCAATCTTCAAGCTTACCAATGGGCTGCTTGTTCCATCATCCCTCCAGAGATTAATGTCCAGTTCACTGTTCAATAATTACTGGGATCCTGTTTTTCTTGAAGAGGGGAAATACATTTTTTTTCTTCCCCGGTCATTTGGTATCTTGCCACCTATCAGACAATAGTTCCTCAGCAGTATTCTTGGGTATATTTCATCCTAGGACCTTGAAGGTATTCAAATTAGCCAAATGCTTCTTTATTTCATCCCGACCATCCTGCAACCTTTTCTGTTCCTTCCCAATATATGCTAGTAAAATAACTTTTTTAGATATAAAGACTGAAGCAAAATTTGCCGCCCCCCCTCCACCATTAAGAATTCACTTGGAGAACACACTTCTTTTGCCTTTTTTTTTTTGCTATGAATGTATTTCAGAAAAGCTTTCTTATTGGATTTCATCTCTCTTGCCAAGTTTAGCTAATTTTCCACCTTTGCCTTTGTGTACTTCCTGAATTTCTGAGCCAAGGCTTTGCACAATTGCTTGAGTTTTTAGTTCTTCCTTCTAAAGAAGCACCCGTCTCTCAACAAACTGCCTATTCAAACACATTGGCTCCTTTAGATACTGTACCTCCTACCGCCTTTCCTTATTTGAGACTACTGTATCCTTAATTTATTTTAAAAGAAACCCAGGCAGTGGTGGTATTTTTGCATTTCAGAATTTTTCCCATGACATTTTCCATCCTATTTCTTTTCATTTATAAAATCAACCTTTCTATAAAGGTAATTTTTAACAATTTTTTTTTGCTAAAATCAAAAGCATGTGTGATCACCATACACTTCTCATCAATTCAATGTATTCAATTCCTGCCTGCCAATTAGGACCATATCCAAGGTAGATCAACCAGTGGCCAGCTCAACTTTTTAAGAGAGAAAATTATCACCAACACTAGTTAAGAATCTATATGACATTTTGTATTTGGCAGAATGCAAAACAGATTGCTAAAATCTCCCATCACAGCCACTTAAATGACTTCTTTTGAAGTTTTGGTCAATCTGTTTTAATAAACCTTCATCCATTTCTTTGGACTGTTTTGGTGATCTACAGCATGTTCCTAGCAAAATGTCCCTTCTACTAGCTTGCCCTTTTATCTTGAGCTTTTCAACAATCATATTATTACCATCAGCCCCGTGGAAGATCATTAATACACAGAATGGTGCTCCACCTTCTTTTTTGTGTTGTCTGTTCCTCTAAAACCAACTGTAGCCATCAAGCCCAATGTGACACTGGTAGATT